AATAGAGTATCCAACTCATAGTCCAGCTCACATAATCAGTTGATCTTTACAAAGGAGCAAAGAAAATAAATTGGGCAAAGGTAATTATTTCCAATAAATATTGCTAGACAAGTTAATTTAAGCTTAAACCCTATACCCTTCAAAAATACCATTCAAAACATGGATCATATCTGAATATAAAGTTCATGATTATACAAGTCCCTCAAGTTAACAAAGGATCGCCCTGGTATATATCAATCACAACACAATACCAAAAACAAAATCCTTGGGGAAAAAGAGTCAATGAGGTAGAATTTATTAAAATCAAAAGTTTGTGTTGCAAGCAAGGCCAAACTAAAGCTACCAGCACAGCTATATTTATCACAACATAATTCACCATAGCTAAGATATGGAACCAACCCAGATGCCTCTCAGTAGATGAGTGTATCAAGAAAATGTGATATATATATATGTATATACATATATATATGCATATATATATATATATATGAATTCTATGCTTCCATCAGAAAGAATGACACTACCTCATTTGTAAGGAAATGGAAAGACTTGGGAAAAAATCATATTAAGTGAAGTAAGCCAGACCCAAGAAACATAGGTCCTGTGGTTTCCCTTATCTGCAATAATTAGTATATATCTAGAATAATTTTAGATGAGCAGAATAGCTAGGTACATATGACCATATAAGATGATGCTAAGCACAATGAAATCCAAAACATGGACACAAGAGGTTTTTCTTTGTTGTGGTGGTTTTTAAGGTACTATGTGAGTTTTTTTGTTTCTTTTGTGTGTTCTTCCCCCTATAGCATTTCACCTGTTGTCACTGTATTTGATTTGGTACCCTGGTATTGTATATACATTTATTTGAATTAGGGAAGGGAAGGGGAACAACAGAATGGTGAGACAAAGGACAAGGAGGAACTAATGCAACAGTGAAGTACACAAGACAATATGTTGGAAATGATCTGTACAATTTTGGGGGTGGGTGTTGGAGGAGAGGGAAAGTAGGAGAAAAATGAGGGAAGCAGTAACAAATTTGACAAGAAATGTACTTATTACCTTACTTATGTTACTGAAACCCCTTGAACATCACTTTGAAAATAAAAAATAGTTCATTTTTTGACATAATGTCTTGTACATCTTATTGTTGCAATGGATCCACCTGTATCCCTATTGGCAGGAGGGGGGGTGAGGGAGATGAGAGGGCAGGGATGGGAAGGGGAAACAAAGGAGGAGGCAACAATGCTTGATAAGAAATGTACTCATTACCTTGTGCATGTAATTGTAACCCCTCTGTATGGTATTTTCACAATTAAAAAAACTTATTAATAATAAAAATTAAAAATAAAGTAAAAAATAAAAAAGAAACTCCAACCAAGATCAGCCAAAACAACAACAACAAAAAAAATGAACAACAACAGCAACAAAAGAAACAACTTCATGTTGTGAGACACAAAAGAGAATGCAAACTCTTGACCTGGGACAAAAATATTCACAAAATACATATATAATGAAGGAATTTTACCCAAAATACAAACAACTCTTAACACCAACACTAAGAAAATAAACAACCCAATAAACACCTTAACACACACTTCACTGAAAACATGAAATAGTTGGCAAGTAAACATGCAAAAAATGAGGAGGATTACAATTTAATTCTAGTCCAGACAAAAACTCAGGACACTGTCGGAAAGATTACAACAGCAAAAAGTGCTGGGCTTCCAGTTCAAGAGCTAGGGAGAGAGTTCATGGCTCCCTGAGCTTGTGACTCAAGCATGAGGCCTTGAGTTCAGATTCTAGTATGGAGAAAAACAGGCAATTTAGTACTTTCTTGCAAAGCTAAACATACTTTTATCATATGATCCAGAATGTACATTCCTTGTTACTTGTTGAAAGATGTTGAAACTTATATGTACACAAAAATGTCTGTGTACATGTTAGCAGCTTTATTCAAAGTTGTCAAAATCATTAAGAACTGGTGTCCAGTAGATGAACAGATAGACTGTGGTATATCCAAATAAATGAATTCTTGGTCAGCAGCGAAGACAATGAGCCATAAAACAACATGGAGGAATAATAAATGTAAATTGCTAAGTGAAAGAAGGCAGTCTGAAAGGCTACTACTTTATCATTTTGACTCGATGACGTTCTAGCGAAGGTGAAGCTATTAAAATAGTGAAAGAATGAGGGTTGCCAGGAATCATGAGGGAGGGAGGAAGGGAGGGAGGGACGATAGTGAGGAAACAGAGTTTTTAGGACAATGAAACTACGCTGCATGATGCTAAGGACATAATATTCACATTTCTCAAAACTAACAAAAAGTCCACCTCAAAGAATGAACTCTAATATAAAGGATTATCTTTGGATGATCATGATGTGGCTGTGTAGACTCATTGGTTGAGAAGTTGAAACACACCCACATGGGATATATTGCTGGTTTTGCAAGCCTTCTTTTTAAACTAACAAACAACTTCCCTACGTCATGCAAGCATAAACATGAGGAGACACTTGTGCACTCATGTTCGCAGAAACATGATTCACAATATCCACAGAGTTGAAGCACCCTAGCAGAGCATTTACAGATAAGTGAATAAGCCACATATGATACAAATGTACAACAACACGCAGCCTTAGAAAGGAAGAAAACTCTAGGACACAATATCTAGCGCAAGTAATAATATAAGACATTATGCTAAGTGAAATAAACCAGGCACGAAAGACTAATGCTATGATTAATGATTTCACTCCCATAAGGGATTTAAAGAGCACTAAAAAAATAATAGCCATAGAAAGCAAAATCATGATTTTAGAGGTGGGAGCAAGGGAATTATTGTCTAATGGACAAAGTTGTTCAGTGTTTCAAGGTAGAAACCATTCTTCTCAACTGAAATACAAGGGAATGTGCATTTATCAAGTGCCATTGATGTGTTCTTTAAGATTACTAAAAGGATAAATAAAATGTATACTCTACCATAATTGAAAAAGACAACTTGCTGGGTGCTGGTGGCCTATGCCTGTAATCCTCGCTACTCAGGAGGCTGAGACATGAGGATTATGGCTCAAAGCCAGCCGGAGCAAGAAAGTCCCTGAGGCTCTTATCTCCAATTAACCACCGGCAAACCAGAAATGGCGCTGTGGCTCAAAGTGGTAGAGCACCAGCCTTGACTGAAGAGCTCAGGGACAGCGCTCAAGCCCATAATTCAAAACCCGCGACTGACCAAAAAAAAAAAAAAAAAAAAAGACAACTTTACTCCTGCATTCATTCTTTTTTTTTAGTGCCAGGACTGGGGTTTGACCCCAGGCTCTTGTGTTCTCACTTGCCTTTTTTGTTCAAGGCTGTCACTCCACCGCCCGAGCCACACCTCCACTTCCAAAAGACAACTTTAAAATGTGTGTCCTAATTCATGTTGAATTCTCATAGGGATCAAAAGATGCATGTTCTGTGTTTCATAAAGCTTAGCATCTGCGATTAGAGATTTCATAGGTATGACTAGTGAGCACACCTGCACTTGATCATGGCCCAAAGGTTCAGAAGTGATGAACAAGTACCTGGAAACAGATGAGTTTCTCACAAATAATAGGCTTTTATTGACATGTGATATTTTCTTACAGAAATAAATATAATGCAATCTCTTTAAGGGTTCATTTGGAGTGGGAGGTCCATGTATCCTAGATAGGAACAGCTACATTTTTGGTACCATTTTCTTAAGAACTGCATCAACAAGGGAAGCCTTGTTGCTGACCAAGAATCATACAGATGTGTCCAACATCTGCCTCACCCCAAGGCTTCTCTCTCCACCATACAGATGACTTGTAGCTCCTGGTCTTTATCACCCTCCTCCCGCCCCAGTTGAAACATCACAGATCATAAAAATAGTTTGTACCATAAAAAGTCAACATTTCAAATATAAAAATGCTTTTATACAAATATAATTCAGGATATAATCATTCTTAAAATACAGCATTGTTACATAGGAGAGTGAAGCATTAGTAAAATAAATATTTTCTAGAGAAAATTTCATTTGTATCACAAAATTATAAAGCAGAAGCTTATAAAACTACTTCATGATTGAATGTTCTTCAGGTGTCTCTCATTCTCTCTCCACTCTGTACACACAGCTATCCTGAAAGCATATGACCATCACCCTGTATATTTCTGTGATAGGAGAACCCATGCAGCTACCTACCTATTTACTCTATGCCTGGAGCTTCTGCAGTCATCCTGCAAGTCAGAGATCTTAAGAGACTGTTGTTTTCTGAGTGCAAGAAAGGCATTTGAACTTCCTTGTTGAAGGAGCTATCACATTCTCCCTGTTTGTTCATACACCAGCTACTTTCTCCAGGTCAGGAATACATTCTGCGCATCTGAATATTTAGTTCTTTGATAGAGCTGGCTGATACTAACTCTAATTTCCAATGTCTGGACATTGTCACTAGAAGTTGAGGCATATTTTAATGGGCTGCCTTGTTGCTCCCACAGTATTCCATCATTCGTTTGGAATTTGCCAGAATGCTTGGCAGACAATACAGTTGTGTGTCTAAATATCTTGGAGAGAGGAGAGAGAACAGGATATAAATTATAATCCACTAAAGTTTCCAGTTGTCATTACTTAATCATATCTCTAATTGATTTCAGTTCTTCAATAATACAGATTAACCAGATTTACCACTGAACAATAAGCTGAACAACTGAGCTGGCTGACGTTTCTAGCTCCTTTCCAATGACTACCAAAGGGCAAGTGCTTTCAGGAAAAACTGGCTTGCAAAATACAAGTGGTAAATCTTCAAGGATTTGAAGTACCTCTCACACAGTTTCATCATGGCCAGAAAGCCAGTTATCCAGATCCAGCTGAGTATCCTCAGTTCCTCTTACCAAAGTATCCCCTTTCTTTAAAGAAAAAAAAAAAAGAAAGTTTTATCCTTGCTTCCCAAAGCAAAGACCTACAGTTCTCCTAAAACTCTGAGCCTCTGTCTCATGCAATCCTTTGTAACACTTTCTAGAGTCGGGTTTCTTGGACCTCTTCCTCTGTCTCCTCCTTCAGAGCTGCAATTTGGGATCGAGACTTGTGCTTGCTGGAGTTGCGGTGTGGGAAGAGCTTGACCCTGTCTGAGGTGCTGATGGCCTGCCGGAACAGGCTCTTCTCACTCAGAAGCTTCTGGATGGAGTCATACTGCCTCACTCTGTTCTCTTCTATGACCTAGAGGAGGGCACAGTAAGATCTCAATCAGATGGCAAGTCAGACAAGAGCAGGGACCAAAACTGGAACAGGCTTGAAGAAAAAAAAAACATAGCACTTGTAGCCTTTCATTTTTTTTTACTTTTTTTGTATATATTTATTATTGTAAACATTCTGTACAGAGGGGTTACAGTTACATGAGTAAGGCAATGAGTACATTTCCTATCGAGCTACCCCCTCCTTTGTTTTTCATCTACCATCCCTTCCCTCCCCACCTCCCCAACTCCTCTCTTCCCACCCCCTGAAGTTGCAAAGTTCATTTTCAACATAGTGTCTTGTACATTTCATTGTTACAATGGGTCAACCTGTATCTTTATTTCAGCATCTCATTTTCAGTCATCATATATAACACACTTGATTGATGTAACCACTTGCCTTCAGGAGATTCTGCCATCTATAAAATTAGCTATATTTTAATCTGCAGGAACTAGAGGATTTTTTTTCCTTTCCGAAAATTAGCACAGTGCTAAGCAATGCACTTTTTCAGATAATGTTAGAGGAGCTGAAGTGCTTTAAAAACAAGAATGATTTATGACAGATTCCTTATATAATAACTTAAAAATGAATTGAGTTCACAGCACAGTAAAGCATGGGACTTCTTCAACACTGGATCTGAAGCCTAGTAATTCCAAACTGGCCAGGGTACACCCGAGTTTAAAATGTGTGCCTTGCATGCTAAAGTTGAGCAAATGCAAGGTTAGCAAAATTTAAGACCCTTACACAATCCCCTGACCTTGTCTAGAGAAGGGCAACAGATAATGAATCTGCTCTGTAACTTGCCACTTTGTGCTCAATAAAAATAATGATAATGAAATCCTCCAGTAAGGAAATATTTTACCTCTTGAGATAACCTGATATATTATGCTCCATATCTTTGACATTAAACCAAAGTAAATTTGTAAATAGCATTTGAAGGAATCTGTGGCAGTCTTAAAAGCATAACGAGAAGGGAGCTAGCCAGAGGTACTAACCTGAGTCCCAAATAATGACTAGAGAAATAAAGCAAACCTCTCAACTGGTGTATGTTAAAGCACAGTCATATTGTAAGAAAAACAATCCTTACCTGTATCCAAGGAAGAGCTAGTTATTAAAAGAAGCAGTAGGATTTTTATATTTTAATAGTAGAAATGCTTTTGTGACTTGGTTCCCAAATAAAGGCCTAGAAAAGCATAGATCTCTGATTAATCCCTGCCCTGTTGTTAATATGCTGCTATTTTAAGTGCATTAAATTTCAGTGCCTCATTTCATAGCTGAAATCCAAGTGGAACATGTGTGTTTACTTTGAGAAAATTTTGGGTAATTTTCTGACACATGTTTTAAGTGATAGTCCCTAACACTGGTGCAAGGTGCAGTAATGATCAAATAAGAGATGGTTATCAAATTTACAAGGAAAATGAGATTCTAAGTGCATGTATAAGACTCACCAAAAATTGTTGACATTCCAACATTGCTTCTATCCTGTGTTCACACAGGATCACTGTGCAATCGGCAAATGCTTGCTTTAGAGTTCTTCGAATTACTTGATACGTTCTAGAAAAGGAAGAAAATCACACATTGCATTCATTTCTGAATAAAGGCCTTCTTTGCTTTTGCTTTTGGTAACACGCTTAAAGTTGTATCCGTTAATTTTTCTTCATTTAACGTATTTTTGAACACAACATTGATATAGAGTTAGCCACAATCACCTTTCCAACCATAAGGTAGACTCTATATATGTTCATTAATAGTCAGAAAATATTTTGAAGAAAAATTAGTGAACAAGGCCCCTTTCCACTATATAGATTCAATAGCAGTTTTTGCTATAAACATACTTATGGCATAGGTGGGATGTAAGGATCAGAATGTGCCCATGTAACAAAATGATTCCTTGTGTGTTGACAAGGTGGGAGGGTTTGTATGAAATTCCAAATATCCAGAAGAGAATATTCAGAGAAAATTCAGCAGACAACCTGGGGCTCTTCAGTAAGGAAGTAAGCATATGTGCTCAAATCAAATAGTGACATTTATTCCACCAGGTAATTATTTTATAGCTGAAGAATCCCCTACTTGTAGATGTCACATTTTAGTGGGAATTTGTGTGAACATGAAGTAGCTCTCAATGCTTCTACTCCCATTGTACCATTACATAACAGTATTCTGAAACTCACATGGGATCCAAATGAGCGCTGGGTTCATCAAGCAGTAAGATCTTTGCTTTGCTGAGAACAGATCTGGCCAAGCACATCAACTGCTTGTGACCATGGCTTAGCACATAACCCCCATCCACAAGGACAAAGTCAAGCTTCCCAGGAAACTGTTCTATCACAGATCTGAGTCCAACCTACATTTTAAAAAAATAGGAAGGTAAACATTGAAAAGGTCTTTGAGATGCTTTAGGGCTAAAAAGGTTCAAGAGGATGACAATCTAAAAGTACACATAAAAGTTTAGAAGATTAAATTTCACTTCAACGTTCACACCAATTCCCCTTATTTGATTGAGCAAAATTCTCTTCATAGTCTTTGCAGGTCTAAAGAAACAGTTTGAATATCATTTCATATATGTACTTCATTTACTTGGGAAACTTGTAGTGTCCCCTTATTAAGTTCCAGGTATCCCAATAGACAGTTAAGGAAACTATAAATGATAGGTAGTTTCTGAAGACTCAGTGTTCATAGAGTTATTCATTACAATACCATTGAATGCATGTTGGGAAAAATTACTTATATAAAAGTCAGTTATACACATTATCATGTAAAGCATAGAAAAGTATAGAGTAAAGGCTATGATATGACTTTACATTTTTGTGTAGTCTAAATCTCTCATAAGGAATGAGCAATATCACAAAAGACTAAGCTGAAAGGTTTAAAAAATCACATATGGCATTTTAGTATTCAACTCATCACTTCAGAAAAACTAGTTGTAAGGAATTGATTTTTAAAAATTTATGAAGTTAAAAAAAGAAACCTTTCCCTGCTTTCACTATATTTGATGTCAGTATAACTTGTGGAGGAGATGGGGAAAAACCAGTTGTTTAAGGATACAGGTGGATCTGATGCAACAATGAGAA